TATGCTTCAAATGTCAGAGTTTCTGAGCCAACTTTTTGGTTGCTAAACAAGAACGTTGTTAAGTAAGTTTCATCACATTTTACAAGTTGGCCACGCCCACCCAGTCACATGGCTGGCAAACCATTCCCACAAAGCAGGCCACACCTACAGAAGAGGTTCTAAAAAAATTTGAAACCCACCACTGGGCCACACCCATAATGCAATGCATGCGCAACCCCTGTGTCCTGCCCCCTGCGCATGCATGTATGGCACCATCCCCTGTGGCCCATTTTGGGCCTAGCAGGCCTCCCTGAAGCCTCCTGGGACCAAAAATGACGTGGAAGGGTGAACACCACACCCTCTGTAGCCCGTTTTGGATCTAGCAAGCTTCCCTTAAGCACCCTGGGCCCGCCCCCATGCATGCACATGAGCCCCCTGACACCCCCAAGCATCTGTGCACCTCTCCCTCATGTGCATGTCTCCCGCAGGTGTGGCAGAGACCTAAAAATCAGCTGGCCAGTGGGAGATACACACCCATGCTCAGTGGAGCTGAGCTGGAGTGACAGCTCGCATGCCCACAGAGATGGCTCTGTGTGCCACCTGTGGCACTTGTGCCATAGGTTCTCCATCACAAGTATAGGGTTTCCTGCCTGGCAGGGGGGTTGAACTAGAAGACCTCCAAAGTCCCTTCCATGTGTCTTACTCTGTTATTCTGAGTACCTGAAGTCAAAAGGACCTGGAAAAACATTGGACATGCTTTCAAACAGATTAAAGGAAGTTAGGTTAAAAACTGAATCATAGTTTTTGAATGAATTCTGCAGTCATACTTTCTTACCATAGATGGCCTGGATGGCAGTAATGTCATCTTCAGAAAGCGGAGAATCATCAGGGTCAATGGGTTTATAATTGGGGAACATCAGTGCTCTTGGATCATTAGAATGTGCGAGGCCAAGTACATGCCCAATCTCATGTGCAGCAACAAGGTACAAGTTGAATTCTAAATAAATAATTAGAAAAGCAAGTCAATAAAACATGGTTATACATGGAATGCAGATGCATACATGAAGTTCCACTGGGTTCATTGGGATTCAGTCTCAAGGAAATGCACATATGATTGTTCTATTCGAGGTTTGAAAGAATATTTTGGACATGTGATGTGACACCAGTGGCGGGTTTCAAATTTTTTTGGAACCTCTTCTGTAGGTGTGGCCTGCTTTCCGGGTCCACTGGTGGAACCTCTTCTAACCGGTTCAGTAGATTTGACANAAAAAAAAAACATTTGAAGATCACTTTAATATTCCACTTCTGTCTTTTCACCCTATGGCTCACTATGATCCTTATTATATTTCAAAGGGGTTAAGGAGACCTTACCTCCAGTATTGGTTGCCAACAAAGAAATAGGTTTTTCCAGTATCTTTATCAAAAACAGCAGCATCGATTTTCTCAACATTTGTTGGGAATCCCAACTTGTCAATAGGTTGAGGATAGCCAGGCTGCATTTGAAGCCTACTAATCATCCAGAATTTATTACCTGTTGAAAGAAAGCCAAAAGTTTTCAAAGTTAATTAAATAATCCCCATTGTATATATGTATGTACCCTGTTTCCCCAAATATACAACCTACTCCTTTTTTTATTTATATCTCGTTTCCTCTTTTCCAACAGCTGGTTGCCAGAGAAGTTGCTATTCTCTGTTTGTAGAGCACTTTTGAAATTAGTCCAGGAGTCATATATATCACTCTAGTACTGCAGGTTGCTCATTCCTAGACTTCTAATTCAAATTATAGAAACCTTAGTATCTTACCTTTAAAGAAAAAAACCTGATCGTTCGTATTTTCATAAGCTGCCTGGATTCCAGATGGCAGGAGAGGTGACAAAGTAGAAATTGGTTCCATGTCCACTTCGGAGCCTGTAGGATACACTCTCCAGATGTGTCTGCAATAAATATGACGGTGCATTTCCTATTACTAAAAATAATTGTTCTGGGAATTGAAAAAGGCAACTGGTTCTATTGTAAATCAATTTACCAGAAAAACATAGAATTCAGTCTAACATAGTCAGAAGGATACAATTATGGGGAAAAGCTGAACATAGGAACTTTTTGAGTGCAATATCTTGTATATGTCTATGGAGAGTCTCAGTCATCCTGGTCATGGTTGTCCCAAAGGTGGTTATTCAAGAGGCAACTGGACTTTCTGGTTTTTCTTTGAAGACATTTTGCTTCTCATCCAAGAAGCTTCTTCAGCTCTGACTGGATGGTGGATCCTTCCATTCCTCCTCATCCATTCAGAGTGACACTCAGGTCTCAAACCTGCAGCTGCCAGCTCTCCAGCCAATAAGCTCAGTGTCTTTAACTGCTGAATAATGCGCCCCCTTGCAAAGAATATAAACCCTTCCATTCCACACCATCCAGTCCGAGCTGAAGAAGCTTCTTGGATGAGAAGCGAAATGTCTTCAAAGAAAAAACAGAAAGCCCAGTTGCCTCTTGAAAAAACACATTTGGGACAATTTTTTGTATATTTACTCAGAAGTAAGGCCCACTATGTTTTCTGGAAATTCATCCTAGTAAGATTTCAGGCTTCATGGACTAAGAAAATGAGAATCATTTTGAGCTAGAACCAGGGGTGAGTTCCTGCCAGTTCTAACCTCTTCTATAGAAGAGGTTCCACAAATCTACAGTGCTGTTTAGAACCGGTTCCAATTCCCTCCCTCAGCCCGTCCGCACATCATCAAGATGAAGAGCAAGAAGAGGAATTCTGGGAGTTGAAGTCCACAAGTCTTAAATCTTACTAGTTTGAACCCCCCTGTTTTTTTTTTAAGGGTTAGGGATGCAAGGGTCTTGTAACTTGATAGCTTTAAGACTTGTGGGCTTCAAATGCCAGAGTTCCTGTTCTTGCTCTTCATCTTGATGATGTGCGGACGGGCTGAGGGAGGGAATTGGAACCGGTTCTAAACAGCACTGTAGATTTGTGGAACCTCTTCTATAGAAGAGGTT